GACCAATGATCTTTCTTGATCTCTCCCTTGGGGATGCATCTTCTCCTTGACAGGCATCTGGTCACACGTAACATAAACTTTAACTAAACAAATATAAACCAAATTTTATAAAAAAATTCTTAAAAGAACGTGAAAATATTAATTTTTTAAACAATTTAAGCATGGCCAAGGAATATGGTATATGAAAGGGTTAACCTGTATAAAATGCTCTGCTCTATTTCCTATTCTTCTGAAGATAATACTTTAATTTTGTGATTGAGGTACAGTATTATGGAAAGAACTGTTATAACATACTAGAAAGATTGCAGTCTTATAAGAGCAGTTTGGATGTAATTCCATAATTTTTATCTATGGTATCTATAGTTTATAAAGTGATAAGTTTTAAGGAGGGGTTGAGATTTGTTGATGTCCAAAGAGGGGAAGAGTTACAGAAACTTGAACAATGGGGGAGAAGTAAAAATTTCTAGAAAAATCCAAACATATGGACAACCCTTTATATGCTGTTTATCTTTCTATATAGTTCAGCATGGAGAATGAAAAAGTTGACAAAGTTGCTTTTTTAGAACTTTTTATTCATAGTATATCACAAGTTTGGTTATCCTTGTATATCATTTCTCCTACATCCTTTCAGTTTATGTGAAGAAAGCCCGAACACCATTTATTGCACGTAAGGCAGCTGTCAGTGGCCAAGATGGTCATGAATTACAATATCAACATGCAATCAAAGAAAGATGGAAGGAATACAAAGAACTTTATGCCAGTATTATTTAAAGGCTTTCGATTGTATTGATTATGACAAATTGTGGAAGTGCCTCAAGGAAATGGGAATCTCACCGCATCTCATTCAGCTCATACTATCATTATATACTGGACAAGAAGCCACTGTAAGAATGCCATTTGGTGATATAGACTGGTTCAAGATCAGAAGGGGTACCTACCAGGGCTGTATCCTTTTACCATCACTATTCAATCTGTATGCAGAGGTGGCAATGAGGAAAGCAGATTTGAATGAGTCTTAACATTGGAGTGAAAATTGGAGGCAGGAACATCACTAATCTCTGATATGTGGATGATACCATGCTGCTCACAGAAAGTCAGGAAGATCTGAGCATCTGCTTCTGAGAGTCAAGCACGAAAGTGCAAAGGTAGGCTACTTCTTAACTTCAAGAAGACCAAAATATGACTACTGCACGGAATACAGAAGTCAAAATAGTGATCAAAGTGAAGAAATTGAGGTAGTGGAAGATATCATATTCCTTGGGTCCAAAATCAACCATAATGGAGATTGCAGTTCTGAAATCAGAAGACGCATAGCCCTTGGACGAACCTCGATCAGCACGAACAGCTTTTGGAAGAGCAAAAACATCTGCTTCCAATTTAAATGCAGATTAGTTAGCACGATTATTTTTCATATTGTCATATACAGATGTGAAACTTGGAATCTAAAGAAAACAGACAGAAGGAAGATAGATGCTTTCAAACTGTGGTGTTGGAGAGCGGGCTGACCAACTTGCTCGCATGGCTTCTGAACTAGAAAGTGAACCAAGCTATAATGCCACTCCCCAATGTCACATCTTAAGACAAACAAAAGAAAATGCATTTGCTATCTGGCAAAGACAATGGGAGGAGCATAGCGAATGTCTTACAAAGGAGTTTTTCTCCAAGGTTTCAGATTCTACTCTTCCAATCATTGACCAAAAATTGGTCCAATTCTATACTGGACATGGGACGTTCAACCAATATCGTCACAGGTTTGGCAAATCGGAAAACTCACTGTGCGAAATTTGTAACGAAACAGATGGAGTAAAACACTATCTATTTAAATGCACTATGTTGGACGATAAGCGTTTTACCATCACCACTCTACTTCCGCAAGAAGAAAATTGGCCTTGCAGCCTTGACATACTTGTCAAAGACAAAAACTGTTTTGTGGCATTTAAAGAACTAGTATATACTTATTTCAACAGAACTACCATTAATTAGGTCAATTTGTCTCAATGGACTGATGTTTTCTCAAATATGTTTATCATTGATATAATATTTTGTATTATAATATTCTATGTTCATTTGTTAATAATACCCGATGTATGTTACCACGTATTTATGTAATCAACTCCTATGCAAATTTTTTATGTAAGTATTTGGCTACTCTGCAGTCAATAATTTGCCAAGTACATTAACTGAACTCTAAAACATATAGTTGTAATCTAACATATTCTTGTTATGTAACCTGTTTTACATGTAATATGCTTGTAAACATTCTGCTCCTAACCTTGGTGGTGCTTTGCGGAGCCAAGGCCATCTTCGGAAATAAAGATTTATACAAAGTGAAAGGGAAGTGTGGTGTTGGAGACAGCTTTTGTGCATTCCATGGACAGTACGGATCACCAACAAAACTGTCTTACACAGAGTCCAACTGAAAATCTCACTGGAAACCGGATAACCAAACAGAAACTGTCCTTTTTTGGTCATATAATGAGAACCAGCTCCCTTGAGAAGGCAATCATGTTGAGGATGGTTAGTGGGAAAAGAGCGCGAGGCCGACGAAGGACTCGTTGGCTCGACACAATCAAAAGTGGCACTGAATTATCTATAATGGAATTGAAGGAGGCTGTGCAGGATAGAGGGGCATGGAGAGCTTTGATCCATAGAGTGACCAAGAGTCGGACACGACTAAATGGATAAGAAGACATCCTTTCAACCAGCTTTTGTGTGGTTTTACAAGCTGTATATATGAGGGCAGCTATAACAGTGCAAAATCTGCACTGCTATAGCTGCCCTCATACATACAGCTTATTTATATCCCTCATCACTGTTTTTAGTACATAAAGAGCTACAAATTGTAGCTACTGCGATTTTACAGAGCAGGGTATTCACATGTCAAATTCAAATATATCAATTCTTTAGTCCAAAGATTGCTTTTCCCACCTACAACTTTATATACTAAAAATGAGTATCTGATATTTGCACACACTTCCTTACCATATTTAGGGTCTGTTACGTTACTTATTATATTTTCAAAAAATACAGGCTTATTCTTCCCACCAGAGAACAGTTATCCTTGCATAGAATTATTTATAATGACAGGGATAGTTTTTCAGTTTTAGAAAGATCTGTATTTATATATTTCCCTTACAACAATCATAGTCAAGTTCAAAACTGTTACTTTTCATAGGAATGACAACCAGAAATCTCTCAAATCATTTTCTTGTATACTAAGATGACATCTTAAGCAATTCACTCCACAGAACTGTCCAGGAGTATATTGGAATGTGACTTTATGGTCAGAAGCTTCCCTAATGAAGCAATGCATGGCATGCAGAACCATTTTCATCTGGGAATCTGTATGCATAACAATGCATAAAGAAATCCTGTAATAGATGAGGTTCCAGAACCATGGATAGCACCTTTTAAAATAGTAAAAGTTTAGTTTGTAGTTTTGCAAACATCAGTGTTCTGTAATTTAAAATATTAGTTTTTAATTGTATACAGTTACTATAAGGATGTATTGATTGTGTATCTTATGTTAAAAACTTCATCATTATGTTTTTCCATTTCATTTGGCTTGAAAATTTGAAATTCAGTTCTGAAATATATATTGGTATATGTTAACATATCTTTCTAAATTTTGTTTGCATTCTAAATACATTCTTCATTGACTGAAAATGACATTAATGCAATAAAGTACTTTCATTCTGTTTCGTTTGAATTAAGGTACTGCAATGCCAAAAGACAGTGGTTTTAATTCTTACATGGTTTTGGTGTTGTATGTGATTATTAGGGTTTCTCATTTCCCGGTTCTTTGCTTGTCCCAGTATTTCGAGAAAAAAGTGATCTGTTTCCCGGGATATAATCAATTATTTTTAAGATATAAAATAAATCTTAAAATTGAATGATATAATTATTTTTAAGTGTTTAATATGTTTTGCAACCTCCAAAATAATAATATTAATAAGCTGTGTAAAATATGTATTAAAATTACCTTTGAATTACATGAAATTTTCACACAGAAAAAATTTATTAAAGTTTGTTGGAAACTGCTTACAACAAAAAAAAAAAAAAAAANAAAACTGAACTCTGAACTAGATCAAACTTCTAACTTAGAAGGTAATTTTCATTTTTTAAATAAAACATAATACAAAATATTATTGTAAATTTTTACAATAAGATTTTAAAAAGCAAAGATGGTCAATACTCTGATCACTCAATCTGGTTCTTGTTGTTGTAATGAAAAGTCCTGCTACCGAGAATGCCCTTTTCAATTCAGTTAATGTGGGTGGAATCGTATTTAATGCATTTAAGAGAAGACTGATGTTATGTGTTTTTTAAATGTAGTGCCAAAAATTTCTAGTTTGTTTTCAAGATGTGTTGCAGTACTACTTTTGCTGTCTAGTATTCTTGATTTGTCTACTTTGGTTATTTTAATAATGGCATGAAGCTTATAGTTGATAATTCAATAGTTCATTTGGCTTTAATTAATAATAATCAAGTTTATGAAGAACAACTTCATACTTGCAGATGGGCTCAAGTAGGGCAAGGATATAAACCCTTGCCCAACTTGCACAACCTGGCATAATGCAGTTATTGAAGCTACTGGGCATGATTAAAAATTAAGACAGCATCGGCACAATTATTCAAGACATTACAGGTTCTGACAAGTAAAGAATTTTCAGTGTCTTGCTACAAATAGGCTACATATTGATTATTTACAATTTGTGACATGTCATAACAAACAAAAATTTAAAAAACTAATAAGAGAAATTTGCGTGATTTCCTGGGATATTCCCTGGGTTAAAAAACAGCTGGGATTACCAGGATCCCTTAGAGAAACCCTAGTGATTATCATTTTGAAAATTATTATAATAAAATATTATGACAGTGTTATGTGAGATAGCTTCTATATAATAGTTAATATTTTATTACTGTGTACTATGTCACAGTAATTTTTAACCTCTGCTTAATTAAAAAATGAATAATAATGAATTTTGTTTTTATTTTAGGAACATGACTTATCATTAAATTGTTTGGAACAAAATAATTATAATAAAAATAAGTGTCAATTGCATTTTGAAAATTATATTAATTGCAAAAAATTCTGGGTAAGTTGATATTAATAGATTTAAACATTTAAAATTTTCTAGAAAAATTGTTTAGATCAATCCAAGTACTTAAAGAATAATTTTTAAATTTAATGTTATTATATATGCTTTTATTAATTAAAAAAAATTACCAAATACAGTAATAATTTTTATAATGTATATGAAAATTAATTGATTTAGTATATAATTATTAAGTTAATTTATAGTTCTGCAGAGAAAACATATTTTCAAAGCATGATTTGAACTCACAATCTCCATATACTAGCCAATTTTTTGTAAAAGTTTCTATGTTATTAATTTTATCTTTTAATAAATCTTAATAAACCTTTCTAATTATCAAAGTTGTTCACAGATAGTAACTCTGCAATTTGTCTATTAATTAATGTAGCATAAAAATAGCCAGGCAAAACTCAAGTTTGATTATCATGTGTTTAATTCATAAAGTAATCTTATACAGCAGCAAAAAATGGTTTATTAAAGTGGAAAAAACTAGTGTTTTCAGTCATATTTAATGACCTCCATCAGGTTGATGTTCTAAAAGCTTCTGCTACTGCTACTTTTCTCTAGCATGTTAGCCTCTCTCCTACCCTTCATAGACAGGTTCTGGAACTAGTGAACCTGGTGGCATTCTTCCAGTTTGATAGAAGCATGTACTTGCATGTGAGAGGAGTGTCCATGAGCAAGCTCCTATCCAGAACACTTTGTGAGATGGTTTTAAGAACTTTGGAGCATCCTGCCAAAATACAGCATACACCTCTGGATTTACTCCAGATACACAGATGATATACTTATTGTATGGAACAAAAAACCTTATATATTGGAATTCTTGGTTGATGTCAATATCAACCCTTATGGACTAAAACTTACAAGTTAGAGTGGTTGTGAGGCCCACTCTTTGGATATTCTTATCATATTTATGAATGGTGGAATCAAAAATAAAGTTTTTTTGGAATATCACAGCCTATAGATCAAATTTTGAAATTTGATCTACAGGCTGTGATATTCAAAGTTTGACATGTAATTTCTACGGGTCAATTGCTGGTTGTAAGGTGGTTGTGCACTACATGTCAATTGAGTTTCCGATTACTATCAATTTACATTGATATATATGACAAGTGTAAAGGTATCAAATAAAAACCTGTCTTTGAATTCCGATCATCCTATCCTTCGTTTTATCATTCAAGGACAGGTGTTTATTCAATACCTTTACGTGACCAGCGGTTTGATTCCGATCTATGACAAGTTTTTAAATTTTGGATTTAGATTAGTTTTAAAGGTTTTTTTAACACAGTTTTGTTTTTTCTAGAATATATTATTTTTTATATTTAAACATGTTTAGCATTCAAATATTTTGTTCTGTTTTTATTAGTATTTGTAAATGTTCAATTTTTGAAACATGACCTGGTGAAGGTCATTAAATATGGCAAAAAATATTAGTTTTTTCCAGTTTAATAAACTTTTTTGTTGATGTACAGTACAAGGTTGTGTGTGACTGAATCATTTGGTTTATAGCCTTATTTTAATATTTTGAAAAAAGCAATTTGTTGAAATTGATTGAGAAAAATAATTATAAAATACATTTAGATTTTTTTCTATATTAATTTTTATTTGAAAAGAACTCTTATACAAACATATAAATTATAAAAAAAAAGTTCAATCTTTAATGTCTGTTTAAAAATTTCTTATGTAAAATCAGATTATTTTGTTCATTATACTTATTAATTAATTAAATTTAAATGGAAATGTAAGATTTATTAGATCATAATTAATCTACTAGGTCTAAATTATCATTTAAAATTAATTTTAAATATACTATTCAAACTTAATAGAAACAGTCTTTGGATTATGTAGGAATGATTTCTGCAAGAAAAAAAATAGTTTCAAAATCACCATTGAAGAATTTAGTGCTGCAAAGCATTGTAAATGGAGAGAAAGCATAATCTATACTTCTATACTAATATTATAAAGAGGTAATGTTCGTAAGTAAGTAAGTTTGGATGTAGCGGGTAATCTCCGAAACTACTCATCCGATTTCAAAAATTCTTTCACCAATATTTAGAATGGAACTTCAGGGTGGACATAGGCTGTATATTATCCATTAAACATTCATATAAATTAAAAGATATCATCTAGGGTTAAGGCTTTTATGTCCAACAGATGGTGCTATGAGTATGACGACCTAAGTTTGCTTTTCTGTGAGGATGAACTAAAGCAGATCATCTATCTATCTATATAAATAAAAATGTAATCTTCGTTTGTTCCTACCGATTCCTTTGAAATTTTGACACAACGCTGCATTCGTATAAAAACGTGCACGTGTTATATAATATACATGTCGAAATTTCCCCCACTGGGGGGAGAGGACAGGATTAAGGCTTACCATGAAGAACTTGGCTTCTATTATACTATTTTAGATGCAGTTTTTTGCATTTTTGATTGTGTTTTAATAGGGTACGTCTAAAAAGGGAATTCTTCAAAAAAATCCCCCACAATGGGGAAGTGTTATACATTTATAATATTAATAGATACATTTTGAGCCACAACAACACGTGGCGGGGTCTGCTAGTAACTGCATATTTTACAACTTTTATTACTGATTGATGAGTTAAAGAAAGACACAAAACATTTCATGCCATATTTTCAGGAAGTGAAAACATGATCCTTCTCACCATGTTTGAAGATGCTTTGTTTGTGAAGCTGTATTAGAAAAACTTGCATCATGTCAGTATCAACAATATTGCTCTTGGTGTGTTTTGAGAATTTCAGAGATACATAAGCATAACATAAGATGTATAAGCAGTTATGAAGAAGTCTAGCAAAACCATATGCTTTCAGAATAATGATGAGTGATTTAAAAACTGGACATTTAGGACTATAATCAGGAAGATGATTCAAACTGATTTATTCACAACAGATTGAAAATGTTGCCCCTGTTACTACTGAATATTGATCAATGAATAATGCAGTGCACATGTAATGTTAAGACATTCTGTATAACTTTGTAGAAAATTCCGCATAAATTGTTCATTTTTATCTCATATTTATGATCAATATCCAACAGTTATTTTCTGGTTATGCAGGAAATTTGATATTTATTCGAACATTCTTGTTTGAAAGGATTTGGATTATGTGTGGCTATGGAAGATCATTTGGGTACATAAAACTCATTTTCACTTAAATTAGAGATATGGACAGCTACAACTGTCTTATTTGGATTGAAATTGCCAAATGATTAAAAAATTCTTTCACATTCATCACAAGTTACTGTACCAGGCAGGGCAATCGGGTTGTTATATTTTACGAACTGTTCTTCCAACAAATTTATAATAGAATCACTAAGGATTTAAACTTGCGCTTAACATATAAGACAAAACAGAACATTTTCTGGCTTTTAACTAATGCAAAAGACAAGTCCGATGACAAGAAAGCACCAGGAGTGTACCACATTCCATTGCAAGATGAACATTTTAACAGACGTATAACATACATCGGATCCATGTACAGATCACTTGAGGCTAGAATACAGGACCACAAATATGATGTATCCAAGGGTAAGTATAATACTGCACTAGCCCAGTATGCTACAAAACCTGGGGTTTCTCCATGTTGGGATGAAGCTACTCTTTTACAGAGGGCTTTTGACCAACTCGACTTACGTTCGTTGGGGGCTCTTGAAATTTATATAGTGAGCATAAAGGGAGGTTGCATTAACTCCAACTATATTCTGGTTCTACAATCGTGGAAGTATTATTTACAATGCCACAAAGCATAACGATAATTTTTATGTGTAATTATTTTTTTATCTTTATGCAATGTAAAAGAAACAATTTCCTTATCAAACATCATTTATATGTTAAAACATTGGACTAACTTTTATAATGCCGCATAATATAATAATGAATTTATTTATACCTTTATTTAAAAAAATAATTAATTTATATGATGTACAGTAGACCCCCCTATAACGCTTAGATACGTTCCACGCTAACCGAAAATTACGTTGTAGGAACGATTAAATACATGAGCCAATCGCAGCCCGATAGGTGGGAACTTTACGGACTAAGGCTGTTCGAAAGGTTTTCTTCTATAAAATTAACCGATTCTAGACTAATTCGACTCAACATTTCCAAAACACGTATAATTTTTTGGGAGTAATCCGTATAAACTATGCTATAAACAAAAAATTATAGGATTACTTACCGAGTGTGTACCGTTCGACTACGCCCGTTGTTCAAAGCTTGTCTTCGTCGCGGAACAGCACACGAAACGGCGGCCGCGATATCTGATAAATAATTTATCGCAGAAAGATAACTTGACCTTTGGAGACATCATTAATATAAATAATTTTTATGGCCGTTGAATAAGAAGTGTTTCTTTCACAAGAAATGTATAAAATTAGTGCTGTATTAGACTTACGGTACCTAATTTACATACTGTGCAGACGATAATAAACTCAACTTACTAGCCTAAAATCTCCGTAGCGTGTTGCCAGGCGGCAGAAAGCATATATATAATTATAATAAAGTTACAATAAATTAAGTTAATATATAATTATATATACAGTACCTAATTTATATATAATTAATATATAATTATATGTACAGTACCTAATTTATATATAATACTAAACAGACGATAGCAAACTCAATTTAGCCGCTCCGTAGCGTGGCACAGGGTCGGAGGTAAGTAGTTCGGCTGCTCATCCACTATTGGTCCAGACTCTATCAATCTTCTCGCGAAACGATGTTATAGGAGGTACGTTATACGAAAGTTGCTACAATTTTTTCGCTACGTTATAGGAATTGTCGTTATAGGAACGTACGTTATAGGGGGGTCAACTGTAATTGTAGCGATTTTTGTATTGAATGTCGTTTAAATGTTTAAAAATTGAAACGCAGCTAAGTTCGAAAGTTAGAAATTTTCAGAAGATAGAACTGTTTTTTGTGCTTCATTGCATTCATTCCTGATGAGGGCCTCTGAAAGATGGCCGAAAATGTTTG